ATATGGTAATGTGTGTAAGCTATGGTTTCATGTTGTAAAATAGCAAAAAACCATAACTCTTCTGTGTTTTAGTTTGTTACCATATGGTAATGTGTGGTAAGCTATGGTTTCATGTTATAAAAATGGAGGAAAACATAAGTCCTGTTGTGTTTTACTTCGTTACCATATGGTAAGATGTTATATGACATGGTTTCATGTAATTACCATATGGTAAAATGTGATAAATATATAGTTTGATTTGGTATGGTAGGAAACCATTATGGTACCATATGGTATATTATGGTAAAAAGCATGCTAACAGACTATTCCTAATTTCTACATTCAGGTACACTATGGTAAAGCAAAGAAAAACTTTTCGCACAAGGTGCAGCCCAACAAGAGTATCTGCAATTGCAAGGACAATAAAAGATGAGCAGAAAGTGCAACTTGAGATATTAGGCCTAGCAGGCTTAATATCAATCAAGCAGACAAAGATAAACAACCATTTTGCACTGTTTGTAATGAACAAATACAATCCAATGAAACAATCGTTCAAGCTACCTGACGGGACACGCATGAAGATATCACCAATCGACTTTCATAGGGTATATGGTCTGCCGATGGGGAATAGGGAAGTTGTACCTCCCATGATTTCTTGGGACGACGCAGCAGATTATGCAATAGAAACCCTACTGGAAGTAGATGGAGCATCCACTCCAAGGGTAAAGCTAAGTCAGGTAGAAAAAGATCTTCCTACAACTACAAATAGTAAGAGATGGTTACAATTGTTCTTTCTGCTGGTCACCGGAGGCTTGCTATGTCCAACTTCAGCCCCTATGGCTAAACTCAACATGCTTGAGTACTTGAAGACTGATGAACTGAAACATTTCACCAGCTACAACTGGTGCAAATACTTCTTCAACCACATGAATGAAGGATTGAAATCACCAACCCTCTACGTCATTGCAGATCTTCACTTCCTTACAGTAAGTCTCCATTCCCTTGTCCATTTCAACCTTGTTACTCATATATTTTATATATAAATGATACTCTTTGAAAAAACTAATACAACTATCTGCATAAAAAGGTATGCTTCATGTACAAACTGGACGAAATGGCATTCTCAACCCAGCTTCGAACACCAACAGTAAGCTACTATGATGATAACAATGTTGAAAGCAACTTTGAGAACATTAAGAGCTACTACAATGGAAAAGAGTTGAACGAGATCGAAAAGGTTGCCAACATTAGTGACGATGAGGCTGATGATGCAACTGATGAGGAAGAGGAGAATGAGCCAGTCTATCAGTCACCGAAAAAACAAAGAAAAAAAAGTCCAGACCAGTCATCATCACTGAACTTTGATTTGAAGAATATCAGAACAGTCAACCAAGTAAGTACAAATTATCTATATTACAGTTGTCCAATTCATGCTAACCGTAAGTCCTTCTGTGTTTTAGTTTGTTACCATATGGTAAGGTGTGGTAAGCTATGGTTTCATGTTATAAAAATGGAGGAAAACATAAGTCCTGTTGTGTTTTACTACGTTACCATATGGTAATGTGTGGTAAGCAATGGTTTCATGTTATAAAAATGGAGGAAACCATAATTCTTGTTCTGTTTTACTTTGTTACCATATGGTAAGGTGAGGTAATATATAGTTTCATGTTATAAAAATGCAGAATAGTGATAATAATTGCCAATACCATGTATTACCACCATGGTAACTAACCATACACCATACACACATTACCACCATGGTATCTTACAAAAACTCCCATTATGCAGGCTGAGAATGCAATCAAACTGCTTGAAGCATCAATGAAGGCAATGATGAAAGCAATCAAAGACCAGTACAAAAGCCAAATTGACAATCTGATCAGACACAAGGAGAATCTTGTGAAAGAAAGCTGTGATGAATATGTTCAGCCCACAGAAGGAGAAAAATATCATTGTGAAGATGATGAAAAAGAGAATGATGAAGAAATTAATGCCAGTTTGAATAAAACACTTAATGAAATATTCAAACAGACAAAGATAGACCAGAACGAAGAGGAGAACGAGGAGCAAACACAGAAAGAAGATGATTCACAACCATCTACAGTTGATCTTGCTGCATCTACACCGAAGGCAAAAGGAGCAAGATGATTCTGCTCCAGGAGCTGTGGATAGGGAAAGCATCCAAGAAGGAGATCCACTGGGGAAAGTTGCAACAGAACCACCAGCACAATCTGTTCAAGAAGGTCTGAATCAGGGAACACCACAACCAGAGGACACCCCGAAAGCAGTTCCAGAACAGACATCTGCAAAAGAAACAGAAAAAAAGGAGCTACCAAAACAGCAGATCCAATGGAAGTTGATAAGGAAACAACAGAAGAAGGGAAAACAGGGGAAGCTGCACAAAAGACTGCAGAAACTGACAGCGAGAAAACGGTGTCAGATGATGTTGTTCGAGAAGAGGCTCCAAAACTGACAACCAAAGCTGCTGAGAAGCCTAAAGTGACAAGGGAAGTCGACATTCCATCCTTCGATCTCAGCCCTCTCAACCATCAAACACCAACAACACCAACAAAGTTGACTACCAACACGGCAACCGATCAACCAGGAGAGCCTCGCAAAAGAAGAATCGTGGTGAAGAATGTGCACGGAAACGAAAAGAAGGAAAGAGGAACACCACCACCAGCACAGCCACAAAGCACCCAGTTACAGAAGGAGTCATATGTTATATGGTCAAATCTGTACACAAACAGCCAAGAGAAGCTCAAAGAAGTGCGTGAATGCATAGATGCTTACCTAGAGGACCTGAATTCTCCAACTGTTGAACCAGTTGCTCCACAATCACAAAGATCACCAGTTGAATGGTCTACACCAACACAAACAACACCTGATGATATGTTGAGCAACATCCTGGAGTACATAAGATGCAAAAACAAGAAATTTGTCAAGAGGTAAGTCATCATCTTAAAACTTCTACTGTTATATGATGTTACTGTAGTGATCTAGTTTGTTACCATATGGTAAAATATGGTAAGATATGGTAAAATTAGATAAATCTATGGTTTAATGTTACAAAATGTAGTAATGCACAAGTCCTGTTTTGTTTTAGTTTAATACCATATGGTATGATGTGGTAAGCTAAGGTTTGTTGTTCAAGAATGGATTAAACCATAACTCCTGTTGTATTTTACTTATTACCATATG